GACTTTACAGCGGAAAATCGTGGTGGAAAACATGTTAGTACTGTTTACGAATACTTTCCCGAAATAGAAATGGATGCAAAGGCCTTTGCTACCCAAAAATGTCAACAAAAGTCAGCTGCCTTTAACGCAACGGACCTTGCTCAATTTATCTATTCAAAATTCTACGAACTGACAGGACAGACCAAAGATCCAGATGCTGGATTAGTTCTATCAGAAAGTAGCTATCGTATCGACCTCCTAAATTGGGGTGCAAAATTTTTGGCAAATTCTTAGCGACCATATTTTGAAGGTCACGAACGTGCAGATGTTGTTGAACCAGGAAAAGTTTTCTTGGACTATTTTTTATCGAGAAAGGCACGGTTCTACGATAGGTGGGACTGTAGACTTCAAAAACTTGATAAAAAATTATCAGAAAATGAGGACTTTTGACCAAGTTACGTGGAATTTTTGATGAAGTAACAAAAACGTGGTTCCATAATAGCGCTTTTTTAGAAACTTATAATACCATGAAACTTGAAACTACTGTTTTTCACTTGGAAAGTTGGCGCTTTTAGGCGTAATCACTTTTTCTTTCACCACTCAAACACTTTTCACTCTGTAAAACTTTACAGTTTGTAGAGAATTTAATTGAGAACCTTTTAAAAACAGTTTTAAAAATTGATTAAATGAAAACTGACGGCGTTACAGCAAAAACAAAAAGTGCCATTCTTTATAGGACATGGGTTACATTTATGTCAGAGTTGTTGTGTGTGAGAGATAAAAGTCTATTTCATGCGAAATTCAGTGAGAGAAGTCTTTTAAAGTCTCACTATGTTGACTTTGTTGTTTATTTGTGACTATCACCATCTTTAACACAACGGTCACAACATTGTGTACTTGTAGCGGTTAAATTTGCACGAACTATGTGGTGATGGTGTTTTGGACAATGAGGTTCTTTCGTACACTTTCCTTTGCAAGCAGGATTCACTGAAGTTGGAAATAGACAGTGCGAAGTAGCAATTGCAAGTGTAGGTGATGTCTATTGAACGGCGAAGCTTTTTGAAACTTACCGCGGCATCGAGGACAAGAGCAATCGCTGTCACTAGGTATACCAGGCAGCGTCCCACCAGGGCATCTTTTAAGTGACGTTTCCGGACAAAAACATATAACTGAAAGAAGAGAGAAATATTAGAGAGAGGGAGGATAGAAAGATTTTCTGTG